ATCCATTGTCAGCCGTTGACACACACGTTGGGAAACATATCTTCGACGAATGCATCAAAGCATTTTTGTCCGATAAAATCTGCGTTCTCGTCACGCATCAATTGCAGTACTTGAAGAATGTTCAACATGTTGTTCTGTTGAACAAAGGCAAAGTGGAGGCACAAGGTCCCTTCCGAACATTGCAGAGATACAAGAAAGAGTCGCTAATGCACGCTCAGGAAGAAGAAGACCAAAATCCCATCGACAACTCTCAGGATCGAGTAGGTTTAATGAAAAAAATTGAATTCTTAATTGAACGTGGCCGTTCCTTGAATCCGATAATCCATTTTTCTTTATTCCGTATTTTCATGGAAAACTGTTAAAATTTCAGATCCGCAAGCATATCACGTCATCATTCTGTAGCGAGGATGTCGAAGACGAACCAGACAAGCGCAAGGAACTCCAAGCGACTGGCAACATTAAATTCAGTATTTACAAAACATATTTCAAGGCCGCCCACAGTCGCTTCTTTGTTGTTTTCGTTTTTTTTATATTCACTGTGGCGCAGTTTACGTTGAGTGGTACCGATTACTTCTTGGCCGAATGGTAAGTTTATGATTTTTCATTTCTTGTTTCTATGTTTATTTTCACCTGCCATTTGATTTATTTCAATTTCTAGGATTGATTGGGAGGAGAAAGTAGCTAAAACTGTAATCGAAATGCCAAATAATTCGACTGAAGTGCCTGTAGAAAGTCGATCAAATGAATCTACGGAGCCGGTGGAAGGGAAACGCGAACAGCTCCTTATTATTTACACTATTATCATTTTGCTGGGCACAATTTGTGTTTCATGCCGTTCATTCTCTTCCTACCGACTGTGCCTGCGCATATCGGTCAATTTACACGATATGATTTTCCGAGGCATCTCTCGGGCCAAGATGATTTTCTTCAACAATAATCCCAGTGGACGAATCCTGAATCGATTCGCAAAAGATATCGGCAACGTTGACTCATTGCTGCCAAGCACACTGATTGACGTTGTAAATGTGAGTTGGAAATAATGCTCAAGCTTCGATTTTTATTCATTTATCATTTTACTTTTCGATTCACCTAAATGTAGAAGAGTCAACTTCTATGACGACCTTCGAGTGATTTATGACCTTTTTTTTTCTTTTTTCCAGTGTTTTCTGCAAGTTGTGGCAATTATTGTAATCAATGGGATAGTAAATCCATGGTTGATGTTCCCAGCTGTTGTAATGACGGTGCTCTTCTATTTGATTCGAAGTGTTTATATGGATACCGGGCGCAGTATCAAGCGGATTGAAGCCATGAGTATGTCTTTCTAACTTTTCTTAATTTTACATCACATTTCAAGAGAATAATTCCCATTTTGATGAATTTTTTCAAAAAAATTTACTGATTAATGTCATGCGTTTCCAGGCCGCAGTCCAATTTACTCCCATGTAAATGCCACACTCCAAGGTTTGTCCACAGTACGTGCTTTCAACGCAGAAAATTTTCTGGAAAAAGAATTCCATGACTTCCAAGATTTCAACACATCATGTTGGTATCTGTTCACTAGTGCGGGGCGATGGTTCGCTTTTTGGCTAGATGTGGTGTGCCTTGTATATGTTGCCATCGTGACTTACAGCTTCTTGATTTTCGACAATGGTAATGAATTTAAAATTGGTTTTATTTATTTTACAGAACACATTTAGCATTATAACCCTCATTTTCGTATTATAAATAATATTTGTTTCGAGATTTTAATGCTCTAATGACTAAAAGAGGAATTTCTTGAATGAATTCTAGCTGAGGACAGTGGCAAAGTGGGTTTGGCGATAATGAGCAGTGTTAATTTGATCGGAACGTGTCAAGTGCTATTGCGTCAAATCGCTGAGCTGGAAAATCAAATGACTTCCGTCGAACGAGTCATTGAATATGCCGAATTGCCTTCGGAACCGCCACTCGACTCAGACGAGAAGAATGCACCACCAAAAGATTGGCCTCACTACGGAAACATCGAATTCAAGTCGCTGAGCTTGCGATATGCAGAGAAGAATGCTCGAACTTTGCTGAATTTAAACTTCCGAATCAACGCTAAGGTAGACATTTCATTGCTTCGTTATTTCAAAAGGAAATTTAAATCGATGAAAAATTCAAACAAAAACAAAAACCACTTTTCATTTCTCTTTTTTGCAGGAAAAAGTCGGTGTAGTTGGTCGAACGGGTGCTGGCAAAAGTTCAATTATCCAGTCTCTGTTCCGTTTGGCACAAAACGAAGGTCAGATTTTGATCGATGGCATTGATGTCGGTGTGATTGGACTGCACGATTTGCGAAAAAAAATTTCGATCATTCCGCAAGAAGCGGTTCTGTTCTCTGGAAGTCTCCGGTTCAATTTGGATCCAGTCGCTGAGCGAAGCGACGACGAACTTTGGAATTCGCTCGAGCAAGTCGAGCTGAAGTCAGTAATATCGGCATTGCCTGGTGGCATCGATTGCAAAGTACTGGACGGTGGATCGAATTTCAGCGCTGGTCAACGTCAACTGCTGTGTTTGGCTCGAGCCATTCTTCGAAACAACAGAATATTGATTCTCGACGAGGCGACGGCCAACGTTGATTCCGAAACGGATCGATTGATCCAGGACACGATACGGAATAAGTTCGGTGACTGTACCGTTATAACGATAGCACATCGACTGCACACGGTTATGGACAGCGACAAGGTACTGGTAATGGATGCGGGCGAAATCATGGAGTTTGACCATCCGTTCGAGCTGATCCAAAAACCAGACGGGATCTTCAAACGACTACTCGATCAAACTGGCAGTTCCATGGTGACAGCGCTCACACTTGTTGCCAAGGAGGTAAGAGCTTTGGATTTTGGTTGTAGATTTTTGTATGAAATTTGTTCTAAATTAATCTCATTTTGTCAAATTTCCAGAGCTACGATCGATGTAATGCTAAACAGCGGACGATTCAAGAGGAGGGCAGTGATGACTTAAAACACCGTTGAATACAAACCACAGATCGAATTGCTTTCTTGTTTGAGTCTATCTGAAGAACGAATTTGAAATTGGTTCAGACAGAGACAGTATAGAAAGAAATTTTCAATAATAAAGACTTCATTCCATTTCCGTTTGTTCAATTCCTAAATCAGAAATCTGCATAAAACTGTTTTTTTGTTCATTTTTTTTCATTGACGAACAAACAAATGATCAAAGTAACATCCAAATACAGTTTTTCTGTCTCTTTATTTGGTACAATGCAGTTTTTCGCGAAACTGATAAGGGCTAGTCGATAGACTGTATGCAATAAATTGATTGGAGACCTAGTGTACCAGACACCAAGTTTTTACCAAGCGTGCGTGACAGAATACCTTAGCATATTTTATACTCTGCCTAGTATACCAACATATCGCACACACTCCTCTCGCGCGCAAACAATTGCTATCGTAAAGAACTCACACACGAAACCACATCGTGAGTGTATACTTGTATGCTTGTGTGTTTGTATGGAGTTGCCCGCTTATCTTTCGCTTTGTTTTATCTCATCCTCGTGCGTCTCACTCACTAAATGAGTGACCATGCATCCTCTTCTAATACCATTGATTTTACATGTGAAATAACAACAAGAAACGACAAAAGTGACCTCTCGTAGCGGCAACTTGAAACTAACGAAACAAACACAATTGAAAATGTCATTTTTATGTTCAGTGTTGGTTCTGTTGTTTGCCGTATAGCCGGAGAGAGATGTCTACAGCTTAGTGGCGTTAAATGACATTCAACACCCATGTGACCATGCGTCTCACGCACTAGATGAGTGTGGATATTTTTTTAGTGGCACTCACCGAATATTACAATGTATCTTAGTTCTTTACGATAACTGTGTATGTGTATGCAACCGTTTGCGCGCGAGAAGAGTGTGTGCGATATGCTGGTATACTAGGCAAAGTATAAAATACAATTGATGCTATGGTATTCTGTTGCGCACGCTTGGTTTTTACTTCGTACCAGTTTCTTTATAGCTTGTAACTCTGCATGCAATAATTGAATATAAAGTCATTTTCTCAAGTCGCATCGAACCATAAGTTATCCCCGAAAAGGTGGAACTGTTTATTTTCAGTACAATGTGTGTGCGTATATTGAAATAAAGAGGCCAATAAAAATTAGATGTGGTAGAGAATGATAAGCAGTGATACGATCATAAAAACCCAAGCGAATGAGTACGATAAGGCTCTATCATGACGATAATTTTCATCGTAGACTAGCGGCGAGCGCGTGTATGCAACACATCTTCGTTCTCACTGCTGCTATGTTAAACATAGTACGCGGTTCACGCACACCGATACGTAACTGGTCATGCACGCGCTCGCCGCTAGTCTACGATGAAATTTATCGTCACGATAGAACCTCATCGTACTCTTTCGCTTGGGTAGGTGGTAAAAAGATAAGCCAAAGTAACCTAAAAACATAGAACAACGTGCATTTACATTTACAAAGGCGCAACGGTTCTTTCAGTGTGAAGAAAGGTGGCCGACGATCAAAACCCAACTTAACCGCAGTACGTGTATTATTAGCATATAAATTAGTTGATAGAAGGATTAGATGAAAAAATGAATCGAAGCAAAGAACACAAGTCACGGGCTCCGAACCCAATATCAAAAGCATCGTTTTTGTCAAAATTAACATTTTGGTGAGTCAATTTTCTAGCATTCCCTTTATGTAGCCTTTATAGTGGCTCAATGCCAAATGATGAGTTTACATTTTTGTTGTTTAGGTGGCTGAAACCGATGTTCAAAATCGGTATGAAACGTACAATCGAAGAAGATGAGATTTACGCCGTCATAAACAGCATGCGAAGCGATCAAAACACCGCTCTAACCCACCTTTTTGGTATTAAATCGTTATGTTAGTTCAAAATTCCTTGAAAAATTGAACTTTTGTTCGGGAGGTACCCAAAATAGGCTCCGAGGTGATTTTATCACTCCCACTTGATTTATTTCATCAAATAATAGGGACGCAGGAACAACCTAGCACCCTCTAACCTACCTTTTTCGTATCAGATCGGTATAATAATTCAAAATTTCTTGCATTTTTTGTTCTTAATTTTGTTAAAAATCGCACTTTTGTATGAGAGTTTCAAATCACTCCTTCGCTGTTTGCTCATTCATGTTGTTCTATGGATTCGAAGGGCTGCCATATATTAAATACAATGTAAAAGAAAGACGCTTTATGATTTTGGTCAAGAAAAATGTGGTTATTTTAAATGGTATTTTTTTCAACTCGTCACATTTTGTTCCAATTTTTTCAGTATTCAGACGCGATAAAGACAATCAGACGTTTTATTTCATTTGAATACCCAACATCAAGATTTCCGGAATCATAATACAATTTTCCATAAAATACATGAACGTACTGTTGTTCTTTTCTAAAAATTCTTATAAATTTCCTAGGCAAAATCTGAATAAACGCTGAACGTTCTGAAAACGGTGCGGAAAAGTTCGTCTTACGGAGGTAAGACTATTTATTTCTTCATTACATTAAAAAGCACGTCGATTGGATTTTGAGATAAGATACATTTGGATTTTTGGTAAATTCTGAAAATATCATATACTACTTAGTGTGTAGCGTTGTTGTTTCATTTTCTCAGCCAACATGAGACTAGATATATGTAAAAATATCACTCGACTTGGTTATTTAAGCTTCCAAAATGTTCGTAGGATCTGGATCATACTAGAAGTCAGTGATGGTTTTTCGTTAGCCAGCATTGTCTTAGCCTTGGCTTACACCAACAACTGGTGTAAGCAAATCGTTAGCCAGCTATCTGTGTGAAATGAGTACATTCAAAGTATAATAATTTTTGATTTGCGTATTCTGATTCAAATCTAACAAATTTTGAAAAAAAAATAATATTTTCAATTTAAAAGTCATTTTTATAATTTGAGTTTTTTTTTTCAAAAACTTAATAAAAAAAATGTCGATGTTTGGTTTCATTTAAACTCTGACCTCGTGATTTAAATGTCAGTCACAAACGTTAGTTCAGATGAGTGCGTTCAGTTCTTACTGAAGTTTTCTCACTGGTCTACACATTCGTTAGCCAGACTTATGCGGCTAATTAGCCAGCTAATTGGTTCTTCACTGCATTCATATATATTGAACCAAATTTGTTGCGTTACATTGTTGTGAAAGTACGATAGTCGAACCGAGCATCCAGCTATATCGTCCGGAATATTTAAAAAACAGTTTCAAATTATTCCTCGGACCGAAAAGTTGTTGCAACTCAGCTCTCAACGCTCGTTGAGTCAACGTGTGTAAAACCATTCAGTATTGCTAAATCAATATAATACAAGGCGTTGTCATCCCGAAAACAAAACTAATATGAGATTCGACTAAAAATATCAACAAGCTGTAATAGCCTCAAATTTTTTTCCTTAAAAATAGATCAAGTGAAATTCTGTGACTTGATCACACGTGTATTATTCGCAAAAAAGCTAGTCAATAGAAGAACTAGATAGAGAAAAAAAATGAATCGTAGCAAAGAACACAAGTCACGGGCTCCGAACCCAATATCAAAAGCATCGTTTTTGTCAAAATTAACATTTTGGTTAGTCAATTTTTTGTCATTCCCATTATATAGCCAGTGCCTCAATGCCAAGTGATGAATTTACATTTTGTTTGTTTAGGTGGCTGAAACCGATGTTTGCGATCGGTATGAATCGTCCAATCGTTGAAGATGACATCTACGCCGTCACAAACAGCATGCGAAGCGATCAAAACACGGAACAATTCGCAAAACTATGGGAATCGGAAGTGATGAAAAAGAATCCAAGCATTTTGCGTGTAATGTTCAAAATACATGGATGCAAAATATTTACATTTGGCCTGTTATACACAATTCGAGAAACATTAGCGAAGTAAGATTTCAATATTGTTCGTTGACTCTTGGTGGTGGCGAGAAAGAAAATCGGTTTTTTTTAGTCACAGCATTTTATGTCGGGCCATCTAATTTGATTTTAAAACTCTCTGTTTTTAACGAAATTTCTCTGCCTTTCATTCGAAAATCGACACTTTGCACGTAACACCAATGCTTCTTATCAATATTAATAATTTCGACGATGATGAAGTAGGTCAAGTAGAAATAAATAAATAGGTGACATACACAAGCGTAAAACATACACAAGCGTAGACATGTCTGCAGGTTTAACTTTTCCGTACACACCGTGTCAAGGGAAAGTATAGGAATTGGTTCCGAAAACTCTTTTCGCAAAATTGGTTTAGATCATCATAAAAACTCATGAAACGCGTAGAAAACCACTTTTTGAGACACTTTTCCGTTCGTGTGCCGTCGTCGTCGTCATCGTTGGTGTTTGTTAACAAGACAACTCAAAAAATAATTGAGATAATCTGGAAATACCAAAAGTTTTTTATCCAATAAACTTAGTTTAAGTTCGAAGATGAGCCATTTCCGATTTGATCCTGGGGTACTTGCCCTAAGAAAAACCTCAAAAATTGACACTTTTGTATGGGAGGTACCCGTAAATCGATTCCGATTGGTTCCAAACTTTCAGAAACTTATTTTACTCCCAAAAAATGAAATCTCAGAGTCAATTTTTTGAGGTTTTTCTTAGGGCAAGTAGCCTAGGATCAAATCGGAAATGGCTCATCTTCGAACTTAAACTAAGTTTATTGGATACAAAACTTTTGGCATTTCCAGATTTTGATTATCTCAATTATTTTTTGAGTTGTCTTGTTAACAAACACCAACGATGACGACGACGACGACAACGACGACGACGGCACACGAACGGAAAAGTGTCTCAAAAAGTGGTTTTCTACGCGTTTCATGAGTTTTTATGATGATCTAAGCTAATTTTGCGAAAAAAGTTTTCGGGGCCAATTCCTATACTTTCCCTTGACACGGTGTGTGCGGAAAAGTAATATGCAACAAAATAATCATAAAAATTTTAACTTGAAGAGCGTAATTTTCGGAGTAAGATTCATGTCACATATTCTGTCCCAAAAGTGACAGATTTTTTAGCAGAATTTCTTTTCAAATTAAGTTCGTAGTGGGTACTTGAGTAAATTGATCAAAATTTCTACTTTCAAACCAATTTTAATAGAAGTTTCTAATTTTCCTCTCAATTTTCTTATGATATTTTCTTTTACTCATTAAATAAAACCTAATTTCATTTAAGATTAATTCAGCCAATATGTCTGGGCGGTTTGGTTAGCTATTTTGCTCAAAAGGATTCGTTGGGCATTACATTGGATGATGCATATTGGTATGCATCGGGAATCGTATTATCAACCGCTTTCATAACTCTTACATATCATCCGTACATGCTATACATGTTTAAAACGGCGTCCAAAGTGCGAGTAGCGTGCAGTGGATTGATTTACCAGAAATCCTTGCGCCTGTTGAAGTCATCAGCCGAAGAAGGTCAAAATGGAAAAATTATCAATTTACTGTCGAACGATGTGGCACAGTTAGACAGAGCCTTGGCGTATTTACCTGATGTTTTGAAAGGTCCTCTACAGGCATTGGTGTTCTTTGTTGTTATTTATATGGAAATTGGTGTTGCTGCCATTGCTGGTATGGCGTTTTTGATCAGTTTCATCCCACTGCAAAGTAAGCGCTTT